TCGCGATACTGTATCTGGTGATGAAAGTGTAGTCTGAGGTCAAATAGCTATCAGCTGCTGGGATTCACTCTGTGGCGTGCCTTTTTTGGAGTTTGGACTTTCGCGTTGCGCGCGGCAGTTGGCAACTCACGCGGTTCTCATTTAGAGTTGGCGCCACTTCTTGCACTACAAACTCGCTGCCTCAGGCCCTCAATAAATGCTCAGCCACAGGTACCCCCGCTTTCCCAGAAATGTTCCATCCATGACATGATACTCCGTACGCTCAAATCATTCACTTCTTTAACAGAATAGTCATCCAACGACATAGGATAACCATAAGACTGCTGGGGTACAATATTATAGCTGAATACAGCACTGTGGAACGAGAAACTGGAACTCATATGATTTGACCGTTCTAAACAAATATGAAGCTATGGCCATCAAGCGGCATGCAGCAACTTCTGGGTACATGACGGGGAGATGTCCGCTCAAGCTGCGGCGAGTCCTTGGTGCACCGCTCTTCGAAATGAATCTTGGCCAGCGCGCTGATCAGATAGAAGCGTCATCCCTCAGCACATTGTCACGTTCATCATGTTATGGCTGGCAACTAGCCGAGCTACTGCTACAGAAACTCCCGGACTACAGCTATCACAACTAGGAAACGAGTAAACCGCGTTCAACGCCACTGATGAGAAGAACCGAGGAAACGCGACTGTCCTCCTGTGTCTGTCAGCTCTCTCAATCGAGATATGGACCGTGGCGTCTTCGATTTCTACGCCCGGTGCAATTGTTCAGTTTTACTCTAAGCAGGGGATCCCTTTGACATGCTACTATCTAAGCCCTCAGTACAGCGAATGCTGTTATCAAGCAGCCGGGGATCCTGACTAAACATTGGTCCCATCTTAGAGCTGAAGAACTACCGAACCAGCAGACCTTCCAACAGATCCATCATATGGCTCATATGGCAAAGCTTCCGCTTGTTTGCAACAGAACACTCGGACCTTCTGATACCCGTGAATCTAAACTACATGCCGGACGGGAGTTCCTAGTAGAGGGGTAACTCCAGGCAGGGGCTATAACTGGACCAGGTCAGGATGATGATGATAATTGCACTGGCCGAAAGCTATCATACACGGCAGGCTTTGGATGAGTCGCAATTCTCAACCATCACACACCACTCCAAGAAGTTCTCCCTCACAAAATTATATCAACTTTCCACGTAGCCCCCAATAGAGTTATCACAGGACGGCTCTCGTTGCATGGGGAGCCATGTCTCTAGCTCGCAGACCATGGTCAAATTGAAATAGCAGCCTACCTCCATTCTCTCCACAACTCTCCGAGTTCCACATGGGCAGAAAAGTTCATATAGCCGGGTTTCTGCGAATCATGCTTAGTACTACATTCGACTTGCTGCCGGAAATGATTATAATCCCTGAAATCTTCGAGTCATGATCTGCTGAGGTCAGGTCAGTCTCATGATTGTTGCGCGGTTCCCACCCACCCTCAACAGATTACCCCAACAACATCGACACTAATATCAGGGTTGAAAATGAACAACGTCGATATTCCGTCGATTACTATTTGCTGAAATGCAAAACCATGGCGTGTCCAAATTCAAGATCTAGCAGCCTCTTTGTTCAGCTTCCCAACGAGTCATTAGTCGTATTGATCACCTAGACCTCACCGGTCATTACTTATTCTCTAATCACCCTTAAGATTTCTTCTTTCCCCTGACATTCTTTTTCGAACAAATAGATGGATTGATAACTCTACGACGAACACAATGATCTCTGATGACGTCCAGGGCCCTGAGGCCAAGCCCGATGATGGCACCACTGACCACGCTCCCATGCCGAAGAGTAAGAGTACCACCGCCAGGGCATCGCATATCACTGAGCAGCCTGTGACATGGTCAAACTGGCATCAACATATCAATTGGTTGAACTGCTTCTTCATTCTTTTCGTCCCTCTTCTTGGTTGTATTGGGGCCTACTGGACCCCTCTACATCCACGCACAGCCCTCTTTGCGCTCGTATACTACTTTAATGCAGGCCTGGGCATTACTGCTGGTAAACGCCTTCCTTCCCACGTTTTATCCGCCTCTCCCTTCCGTGTCAATGATGAGATCGCTGACTTTAGCAGGGTATCACCGATGCTGGGCGCATTGTTCGTATAAAGCCACCCTCCCCTTAAAGCTTTACTTGGCCGCCGTCGGCGTCGCTGCTGGCCAGGGCTCGATACGCTGGTGGGCGCGTGGCCACCGTGCTCACCATCGCTACACGGATACAGAGAAGGACCCATACTCAGTCCGGAAAGGGCTGTTATATTCGCACATCGGATGGCTCGTTATGAAGCAAAACTACAAGAAAATTGGCCGCACCGATGTCACAGATCTCGACGCGGATCCTGTGGTGGTCTGGCAGCATAAGCACTATATCAAATCCGCCCTGTTCATGAGCTTAATCCTTCCGACTCTGTTGTGTGGCTTGGGATGGGGTGATTGGCAGGGTGGGTTAATATATGCTGGGATTCTGCGCGTTTTCTTTATCCAACAAGCCACCTTCTGTGTCAATTCACTGGCTCATTGGCTGGGTGAGCAGCCGTTCGATGACCGTAATTCCCCGCGGGATCATGTCATCACAGCCCTGGTGACATTAGGTGAAGGGTATCATAATTTTCACCATGAATTTCCTTCCGACTACCGCAATGCAATTCAATGGTGGCAGTACGACCCGACCAAGTGGATGATCTGGATCTGGAAACAGCTTGGGCTCGCCTACGATCTCAAGCAATTTCGCTACAATGAGATTGAAAAAGGACGACTGCAGCAGCTGCAGAAGAAGGTGGACCAGAAACGCGCGACATTAGACTGGGGCATCTCCCTCGAACAACTCCCTGTGATAGATTGGGACGAGTTTGCTACTAAGTCGAGGTCGACTAACAAGGCCCTTGTGGCCATTGGTGGCGTCATTCATGATGTCTCCGACTTCATCAAGGAGCATCCAGGAGGCAAGTCATTCATCTCATCGGCCATCGGAAAGGACGCCACTGCTATGTTTAACGGAGGGGTCTATCAGCACTCCAATGCCGCCCATAATCTGCTATCAACGATGCGCGTTGGAATCCTCCGCGGCGGATGTGAAGTGGAGCAGTGGAAGTGCGTCACATCTGAGGGTAAACGACCCCTGGGAATTGACTCGGAGCAGCCGCAGGTTGATCATGCTGGAAACCCCAGGTGAAAGCGGCGCAGTCAATTTAAATCGACAGTGGTTCATAACTCTGGGTAGACCGGCGGCTGCAGAAGGACAAGATTGATCTTTAGAGTTGTAGATAGCATACTCTCGCTCATGAACCTATCCATACTCAGCAATGATTCACCCACTCTCTATGAAAGGTCACACCCGCTTGTACCACGACAGCTTGGTAGAAGTCGTGTGACTACCTTGGTTTGAAGTTTGAGGTAGCTAGGTAGCATATGCATAGGTAATTTTGTGTTTACTTCAGTACACATCCGCAGTACCTATGCACAACGGTCTGGCTCATCTTACGTCCTTGATTGGCAACGACCAGATAAGTGATCATGGATAATGATTCCAGAAACTACCATGGTACTATTTTCTAGCACAGTGTACTATTACATAGCAAGGTTTTGACACAGCCCGGATGCAAAAAAAGGCGATGACAAACCATCACAGGATCATCGTCATATTGATCGCCCATTGTTTCATAACATGAAACTCAAACGACAATGATGCTCCGTGCACCGTGCTATGTGCTTAATTGAAGGAGTTCGATACTGCTAGGAATGACGAGTGAACCCTTTGACAATAATGTCATTATTATTATTATCAACTTATACCTCTAGAATCCTACATGAACAGTTAAAAGAGTGGCATAAGTAGTATTTAGCAGATCCCTGATACGTCATCGTCTATATTCAGTGGTCTGGCCACTTGATACTAATATGAAGCCAATGATACTATGAATAGCATTTAGCGTCGAGGTTTGTCCATTAACAAGGACTTACCAGTTCCCAAACTCGATATACACCAGTAAATGAGAGGTAGCCAGCCTCAGGCACTACACAATTTAATCTTAATCTCACGGTTATTATTGTCCCGCCTTACTTCGAGCATTAAGCAGACCGAGCATCAACTTTCTTAAGCCAAATACACTGAGGTACGGAGTAGTATTTGTACAGCCCCGTCTGTCCCAAAACCGAGGGATTCATCCGTCCTGCCTCCTTATTACATGGCTCCCGTCCATCGCGATTCTGTGTATTGAGTACGGTACAGTACCTACTGGACCACGAAGAAACTAAGGTGTCTCGGTACCTACAGGCACTCACTTCGTACCTAGAGTCCTAGACTCCTTAGGTACCTTAGATATACGGCCGTGGCTGGTAAACAGTCGAGACGTGTTTTACATACCGGACCACCTCAACCTAACTTAACTGTGTTTCGAAGTGGGCCGCTTAAATGAGGTACAACCGTACGACTACCAAGACGGCCCATAGTAAGTCGACCTAGACTTTTTCGAGTAAGGGGTGTAATAATCAATTGCAAGTACCTTAGGCACCTGAAAACTAAGGTAACGGGAACACCACCGCAAGACTTCAAGTCTTCGAGCAAACGAGCCCTGCCATGTCATAATATTTCCTTCGCATCATCCACTTCAATCAGTCATTCGTTAACTTTCTTATCCTGCCTGTTTTTATTCATGCATTGAGTTTTTTCCCTTCTTGAGAACGCCGAGTTCTATTCGTTCATTACCTATCATTGTTTTTTCTATCCCCCTTTAGCACATTATTCGTGTTCCTCACTTCCACACTCTTTTCCGAGTCTCTCCTTTGCCAGCCTCTTGCATGACTTTGGATGGAGGAATTTGAGCTCATTATATAGAAACTCATCTTCATTCAACCTAGCCAGCTTTCTTTTCTTACATACACCTTGGGTCAGGATTTCTGCAACAAAATTCGGGGCGATCATTGTCTCTCTCGCCTGTCGTCGCGCCCCTAAACAATGAGGGCTGCCTCACTGTCTGGGCCTGCGACGGCTGGTTTTTCGTACGCCCTCCTATTGAACTTCTTGACAGTTTTGCAAGCAGTTCCTACTGTGGGACTATCATTTACTTCGGTTTCGGAACCTCAGTTGGATCTGTCGCCTTTAGGCCGAGTCGCTTTTACGGGAGATTTCGATGCTGTGTCAATTTATTCGTATACCGAACAATCGAAGACAGCTTCGGTCCACGATGCCGGACAATCGATTCTGACACCACTTCCAAATGGCGGGCTTACAGCGCTTTCGTCCTCCAATGCCCAGATTCGTGCAATGTGCGCATTCACGCGAAAGGATGGAACCTACGAAGGTATCTTTGTCGGAGGGAACTTCACTAAGCTAGGCGGCGTTGAAACCAAGGGTGCGGCGCTATACAAGCCTGACTCGAACGAAGTTACAGCTTTGCCTGGTCTCTCAGGGTCGGTCTCGGCGTTGCTGTGCGACCGGGAGACCAACAGTGTCTACGTGGGTGGTTACTTCAAATACGAGAACACATCGAACGCGGTCGCTTGGGTTGGAGGTGAAGGCTGGAAGACACTGCCCTTCGATGGGCTCAATGGGCCGGTGGAATCCATCCTGAAGAATGACGATGGTCATTTAATTTTCGCTGGATCATTCGATGGCGTCGGCAATTCCACATCGTCCAAGAAGAAGGAGCAGATTGTCAACCTCCAGGATGCCACAATTACCTCCGATGCAGTCTCGTCGAGATCAGGCTACAGTGACCCGAGGAATGTTATTTGCCAAACCAGTGGCGAGGACGGCGAAGGAAAGACATGGTTGCTTGCTGATACCTCGCCAGGCTTCTGGAGAGCAGATATGGGTTTTGAGTACAGACCTACTAAACTCCGTCTGTACAATACCCATTTCGAGGGCAGGGGCACCAAAACCTTCCTGTTCAGAAGGCTTCCGGACAATGGCATCATGAATTTCACATACACAGATCCTGATACTGGCTACGACGTTCATTGCGACTCTACTTGCCCCCTGTCCGACAGCGCAGACGAGGAATACCGTGACTTCGAATTTGTGAATGTCGTGGGCATGAGCGGATTTCAAATTGAAATCTCCGACTGGTATGGATCTGGTGCCGGATTGAATGGAATTGAGCTCTTTCAGGAAGGTGAGATCATTTCATAAATTTGTTTTTCAACGGTTCGTGCCTTACTGAAACCAAATCTGACAGACATCTTCGCCTATGCCGTGAATGCGTTTAACGAGCCGACATGTGCAAGCATCAAGTATCCTTCCAAAGCAACCCGGACGGGCTCTTGGTCGACAACAGAGTCCGGGCAGAGTTCATCCAAGTACTTAACGGCTCATGTCACCGATTCTACTGCGGACGGCGCTTCTGTGGTCTTTGAGCCCGACGTCAATCAGTCCGGAAACTATAGTATTCTTCTTTACACCCCTGGGTGCATTCAAGATGGAACCTGTGGCTCACGCGGTGTCGTCAACGTGACAGCCACTGTTACAACGGATTCCGACGAGCCTATTCAGACTGTTATCCACCAAACCAATCTCTACGAAAAGTACGATACCATCTACACCGGTCATGTCGATGCCAGCGGTAGTTCGTTTCGTCCGCAGGTGAAGCTGACTCCGGTGGCCGGCCAAGGAGACATCACGGTGGTAGCATCGAGGGTCGAGTTTATGCTCACGAATGCATCAAGCAATTCGACAAGTGGAGACTTGAATGGACTTTTTGAATATGATCCCGCTTCCAAGGATACAAGCGCGAATCTGACACAATCTGCCGTGAATAAAGCGGGGCTACAACTTGACTCTGGTGCATCTGTGAAGGCTTTGGCCAAGCATGACAATAGAATCTATGCTGGGGGAAATTTCTCAGATTCTTCCATCCACAATATCATGTTTTTCAGTGATGGAAATGCGACTGCAATGGCTGGGGGTGGTTTGGATTCTGAAGTCACATCGATGGCGGTTCTGGACGACTTCCTCTACGTGGGAGGAAACTTTACCGATACATCTGATGGCGGCAACCCGAACCTCAAACACATCGCAGCTTATTCTTTCGATACTAAAACCTGGTCAGCTCTGGGCGGTGGTGTTAACGGCCCTGTCGACCGGATAATACCTTTACAGTTGAACGTCTCCATGGAACTCAATGAGACTGTGGTTGGGGTGAGCGGTGGTTTCAGCCGGATACTCTCGTTTGGCAATGAATCAGCGTTCGATGTATCTGGGTTTGCTGTGTGGGTTCCCTCGCGCAAAAACTGGCTTCAAAATCTTAACGTCAGCCAAATCGAGTACACCGGGCAATTAGCCTCTTACGCCAAATATGAAAACACAACTATTCTCGCAGGCAATCTAGCTTCAGGCGGTATTGCAGCGGCAGGCGCTGTGGCGCTGCTATATAATGATGGGATGAGTCTGGACCCCTTATTGTCAAAGGTGGGCGGAACTGATACCAGTGCTGGGACATTCACCGGCACTTATGACACAAATTCTGGCCGCAACCTTACTATTCTTGGTGGTCATTTCACGACTATCGCCAGCGATGGTTCTTCAGTCCAAAATCTCGCTATTCTGAATGGCGCTGACAATACCATCCGCGGCATTGCCTCGGGGCTCGACAGCAATTCCACCTTTTTGGCCTTGGCCGTCTCAGACGATACCCTGTTTGCAGGTGGGAATGTCACCGGAACCGTGGGCAATTCCATGATTAATGGGTTCGTGGCATACAACTTGAAGAACGAGTCGTTCGTTGAGAATGTGCCTCCCCCATTTACCGGGAAAGACGTCTCCGTCAATGCAATAGCCTTCCGCCCCGGAACCACCGAAATCTATTTCGGGGGCAGCTTCCAAACAGCTGGAGCACTCCCTTGCCCGGCCGTCTGTTTCTATGATACAACGGAGGCACAGTGGACTCGACCAGGTGTGACTTTATATGGTAACGTCTTGGCACTCAAGTGGATCAACAATAAGCAATTGATTGCCGTTGGAAATCTTACTGTTTCGGGAAATCAGACTGTCGTTGCGACCTACAGTCCTAAAGATCAGAGCTGGGAGCCGTTGGCCGGGACCTCTACGGCCGACACTCTTGGAACTGTCACAGCTTTTACTCCTGCCAACACGGATGTTTCAAGATTCTGGCTCGCTGGAGAATCGAAGAATGGCTCTTCTTTCCTCGCAAGTTACGATGGGTCTAGTCTCCACTTCGCTGGAAGCATCTTCGGAGACGGCACGACCATACGCAGCCTTGAGATCCTCCCACTGTCCCAGAAGCATCGTGATATTTCTGTTCTCAATGATGATCAGACCCTGCTGATCACAGGACAACTTGTAATTCCCGATTTCGGCAATGCATCCGCTGCTCTATTCAACGGAACCGACCTGACTCCGTTTCTCCTGTCCTCGAAGTGGGATGGCCAGTCGGGCAGTATGTCTCAATTGTTCTATGAGAACAAGAATCCTTACACCAGTGGTGGTCAGTAGTACACATGAAGCTTATCTTGGCATTAATCACATATGCTAACTCTTGCCACAGGCCATCACCACTCGAACGGAATAGTGGTCCTCGTAGCTTTCTGCTGCGCTCTTGGTTGCGTGTTCTTAATTGTCATCGCCGGAGTTATCTTCAATAAGATTCAGCGGCGCCGCCAGGGCTATATGCGCGCCCCCCAAGCATATGGAACCGACCGGCCGTCGACCATGCGACGGGTTCCTCCAGAATACCTGTTCAACACGCTCAAGCATCCGAACCCAGGTACACCAGTGTTATGAGTCGAGATCCGGACTCTATGATATTTGTCCATAACTGAGCAGAAAACGACTCAAAAACATCATGTTCTTGAATCTGTCTGGTACCTCCAGAACGGCGTTCGTGGGAAGCGTCTATTGCTTTATACCCTAATTAATGTGTCTTTGGTTTTTCTACTGATAATGTCGGTTTCTAATTCTCCGCTGGCCAGGTCTTGTCAGATCTCATATCAGACTTCTTTTCCTGCCGATCCCTCTATCACCTTTGCTTGCCATTGGTCAGTCCAGGCAGTTGCGCTGGCGGTGGGAAGGTCGGTTGAGATCAATATGCTATTTGGTGCTATTTCATCCTGAGCTCTACCTTAGTCTTTAGCTTCTTCGTTGCCCGGGGGTTGGCATGTCCTCACCCTCAGCACGCTTTATCATGTTCCACTAGATGGATATAAGAACATCCCGCGCGAGATCGCGGTAATGGAATGATACGGAACTCTTCCTCGTTTCTTAGCGCCATATTTCTTCTATCAGTTTGTAGCTTTATCTACGGGGACTATTCATTGCAGTCGTTACATACGATCTTGGTGACTCTACTGTCCAGATGGCAGATACCAACAGAAGTAGCATTCGATACAACGATACAGATCTAAGTCTGCCTATACTGAATACTAGACTCACCGGCAGTCGAGCGGTCTGGCTTCCGGTCCCTTGGAAGAGGATGACACAAAGATTAGCACAAGGGTACCACAGACGCATTTTTGGAAAGCCTGTGGTTCGAGTCTCAGCCTCCTTTCTTCTTCAAAGAGAACCAATATTGCTACCACCGCACCATTTCTCGATCTCATGCTTTCCCCCGTTGACATCTAATGCCTGATATAGTTCAGAATGCCATTTGGAATGTTAATTGCGTCTTGATTGAATGAATGCCTTCGTAACACAATGGGAATTCTCTTCCAAGTTGTCATGTGCCATCCCCTTGCTGTCAATCCTGCCCTGAAGCCATCCTGAGTGGCAGCTTATAATCTATTTTTGTTTATATGGAAGCCATATTGGTCAATCAGATCGCGCGACCCACTCGGCGGTCACTTCCTTTTCCTAGGCGTCGGTGGATCGATTCGCATTTAAACCTTCCTTTTCCCTTTCAGTAGTTTTAAAACATGCTTCTTTTGTTTGATCAAGGGCAGACAGCGTCTGTTAACTGTGCAGCGGACAGGGGAGATTAATTAGAAGATGCCATGGCACGTCAATCCTCGCATATGGAGTACTGTACTGCAGGAGCCTCAGGCGGAAAAAAAGATGCCGCGAAGTGCTCCGATCTCAGGTGACACTCCGGACACTCTCACTCTCCGGTCGGTCGGCATTTAGCGCTGTCATGGGGGAGTTGGGGTCAGTCGGGGGCAACTTGGTGCCCTGTGCGATCCCCGGCCACAATTTGGACCCCCGCTTTCTCTCCCTCCCGTTCTCTTTCTTTTCCCGTGACCTAACAGAATTCATCTCCTTCGCGCTATCATCATAATCATTCGGTTGCCCTCAAAGTCGGACGGTCTTGTTTTAATATAAGTATTCTCCATTAATCATAATAATTGTTGCGATTCGATAAGCGCAACGCCATCCCTATTCTGGCAGTTAATTCTTCCCGATTACATTCTTCACGGTCTAGCTTACACCAACACCGTCCACGCTTTACATCGCATACTCGCTTCGTTTCTCGGATGCTGCAACTCAATCGCTATCGTTACCATCCGGTATGCGATCTCGCACAGGCTGGTATGTAACTTGGGAAGGAGGAAATAGCGCTTGCTCATTTATATCATGTACTCCTACATGATTTTGTACTTCACGAATCTTGACATGCATCGGACCTTCTTGGACTACAGATCGACTTTGCGAAGATCAAAAGAAAGAGACTGAGAAACTGACGTTTGCCGTTCACCACAGTTTGACGTGTCGGACTCGAAAACTGAAATGTAAAACTTCCACCCTTCGCTCTCGTCGCAGTGACTCTGAACGTGTCGGAAAGTGACTAAAACCCGTGAATCAGGTGATGAGCAAAAACCGCAGTGTTCCCAATGTCGCAAAGGATCCAGGGAGTGTCGCCCCAGTGAGGGTGTTATTTTTCGGCATCAGCAAAATGCTTCGATGAACAAGAGTCTCGAGGACTCGTCGAATGGCCGCGGTAGTCTGAAAGGGTTTTATTCCTACAAGAATACTTTCGATGAAGACAGTGTCTGGCTGGATATACCTAAAGATGGTACGGACGAATGATTCCTATTGCGCTCTTCTTCTGCTCGAGCGTCTTGCATCTCTTGATTCGAGGAGCTAATATAGCGATATTGCTCTAGTGGTCTTTGTCGACAATTCCGATCCGTGTGCGGAGGAGCTGGAGACTGTTCTGGGGGAATCAGAAGCCGCTGTTCTAGCCTCCAAGGCTCACCAAAAAGGCCTACAGACGCCTTCCTCTGCCGACGGGGAGATTCGAGGCTTGGAACAATCGTCCACATCGGGATCTACTAATCGGTACTCTTTTTCTCCCCTCGCTACCGACAACGGATCTCATTCTCTGGCACCGGATCACAACACGCCTTCCAATATACTAGACCTTACCGCCCCTTCAATACCGACTGGACCTTCAACCAATGTACCGCATACTGCATTGGCCCCTCAACCATCGCCTCCGATATCAATTTCTTCTTTCTCCAATCCCAACAGCAACAACACGAACAATGACATCAAATTCATTTTGAATCCTTCCCAAACTCTATCACCGCCCATTGATCCTAGTGCCCAGCATACCTCGGAACAGATGATATCTTCAATTCCCTCCAGATCAGTGTTGCCACGAACTTCTGGGAATGCCGAACAGGAGTCCGAGCAGCCAGTGGAGACCGAGTATGAAGTTGTCTTTCTCCTGAGACACTTTTCAGAAGCCCCGGGGCTATGGTATGTCTTTTCTCAACCCTCGGTAGGATAGTATACCTTCTAACAGGAACTATATAGGATGGATCTCTTCGATTTAGGGACCTACTTTGCATCACTCGTTCCGGTCAAGGCTCTCGCGAATCCTCTTCTCAAGTATGCCGCTTGTGCGTATGCTGCGAAACAACTTGGTCGCGTGAAGGGCGTAAAATCTCCTTTTGGTGGCGTCAGCGGAAAGCAGGCTTACACGGAGACGTGGCCTGATGGGAGAGGTATAGATTGGACCTGGTGTGGCGCCAAGTACTATGAAAAAGCCATCCAACTCCTGGTGAATGAGCTGCAACCTGACGAAGGTCCGCCACCTTTGAGCACTCCGGAGGCATTTGGTCAGTGGCAGGCCGCCGAACTGTGCCAGAACCGCGACAATTCTCGAAAACGTAGAAGGCATAATCGATCATCTGGCGGTGTCCATTCCGACGAAGTTCTTGCCGCAACGGCGATATTATCCATTTATGAATTCCTCGATGCGACTGGTACCGCGTGGAACCGGCACCTGAGTGGTGTGAAATCCTTGCTGGATGTCGCTGAAGTTGGCATGTTGCCACTTGAGCAACACCCTTCTCCAGGGGATGGTTCGCTTCAGCCGCCTAGGAAGTTCGGCCTTTCGAGAGCCAGGAGGGCAACATTCTGGAACTTTGCCAGGCAAGACTACCTGGCTGCATGTAAGTGCGCTCGGATGTACCAGTCCCCTCCCCAATTTCAGGAGATTAATGAGCATCTCATGCAGTCATCAACGAGACGCAAACCAGGTTGAATACCGACGACGTGGTATTGTGGACTGAAGCTGGTCTTCAGCTCGATAGCATGGGATTTGTGCGTACTATTAATTTGAACGCGGCCGGCTATCAGGACGAGGGCGACGAAATGAAGGAGGATGTTATTTCGAATGCTCTCGTGTGGATAGCTTCCAAGATTGTCAATTTCATTGGTGCCGGAGATAGCCCTCATCTGACGCACACTGGTGCTGTTGCCGCCGGCCAAATGAGCCTTTCTCAACAAGCTCTCCTTGAGCGTTGGCACCGCCTCGAAGCCGAGCTTGACACATGGTACAAGAGGCTTCCGGCTAGCTTTCGACCGTGCTCTCGTATCGACTTATCCAACGTTCCTCACCCAAGAACGGCCGAGGATGAGGATGCAGCCTCGTTTTCTGAAATATGGTTCAGCATCCCGATGTGCTCGTCGGCTATACAGCATTATCACATGGCTCGCGTTCTTCTACTTATCAACAAGCCTCATGATTCAATCAATAGGAGAAGTGCCATAACAAACCGGCTCAACTCGTACCGATCTATCGAGAATGAGATTCGCTTCCATAGCCGCGAGATTGTCGGCATCTCATTGGCTCGTCCGCATGGCTCCGTTCGTATTAACTCTCTCCAGCCTTTGTTTGTGAGTGGTCAGTGTCTCACTGAGGCTCGTGAACGACGGGTAGTTTTGCGCTTGCTTCGGGGTATAGAAGCTGATCTCGGTTGGGCAACCGAGTATCGCGTGAAGCAGTTGCTCAGGGAGTGGGGGTGGGATGAAGCATCCGATTCGACTGGGGTCTCATAAACGGTTGTGTTTCAGCCCATTTCGGTATTCCATTCACGTCCCTCTCCCGTCGGTCGGAGATTTCATTTCGGCTTCGGTATCTTCCTGGATTAGCACTCCAAAAGTGCTACACTTGTCATCCTGGCTCTCCCACTGGCCGCAGAAAGGAGCTGAGTAGCATCGCCGTGAGTAAGTTCCAGTCCAATATGCTTGGCCTCAACCGCCTTTTGCCATATTGTCCGCGCCGCATGAGAACAACATCCCGATATCGACGCAAGTGACAGACTCAAAGTTATAACGGGTCTAGTGATATCCTGCGATTTCCGCGATTCTTCAGCTCCGCTTACGGGGTTGCGGCTTCAATGGCCAGCTTGCAGCGGATCGATTTCAGTTGGCCTCGTTCTGTTATATATTGTCCTTTTCCCTGTTAGACGCCTGGTCAGGCTCATCAGCGATCTGTAAGCATTAGCGTTGGCGCATATGATAGCGATATACAGTGATTTAATAATGAAATCATGATCTGA